GAAGGTAGATTTTTCAGATGAAACATCTGTTGAGCTGCATCCCAATCATCACAAATACTGCAGAAGACCTACTGGAAGCAGCATGAACCCAAGATTCTCACAGAAATCAGTCAAGTATGGTGAAGGAAAAATCATGGTTTGGGGTTACATTCAGTATGGGGGTGTTTGAGAGTTCTGCAGAGTGGATGGCAACATCATCAGCTTGAGGTATCAGGACATTTGTGCTGCCCATTACATTACAAACCACAGAAGAAGGCCAACTCTTCAGCAGGATAGCGCTCCTTGTCATACTTCAGCCTCCACATCAAAGTTCCTGAAAGCAAAGATGATGATGGTGCTCCAGGATTGGACTGCCTAGTCACCAGACATGAACATTATTGAGCATGTCTGCAGTAAGATGGAGAAGGCATTGAAGATAAATCCAAAGAATCGTGATGAACTCTGGGAGTCCTGCAAGAAGGCTTTCTTTGCCATTCCAGATGACTTTATTAACCACTTAAACTCCGCGGACACGGTACCGTGACGTCATCGAATTTCGCTTTCAGATTTAAAGAGCTAGCATTGCACCAGACCCCCGTAAGTGGTTTCGTTTAAAAGTGTAGAATTAAAATTTTATGCACATATGCATCACTTTGGTTTTTATTCTACTGTACAAAATTTATTTACATTTAAATACACAGTATTTTGGATACCAGAGCTAGGTATTTAACATTGGTTCATTTACATATTTTGTATATGACATGTACAAGTTATAGCTCAAATAAAAGCTCTTGCCGGTGCTCATACAGTTCTAGCATTCTTTTTACTGAATTATATTCACATATCAAATAGTTGTTGAATTAATTGCGGTGTTTCCATGGCGCAGAAATGTAAACAATACAGTTATGATCAATAAGCAGCCCCAGATAGCACAGACAGCTGTCATCTTATGCTGTGCGCTTCAGGGCCATTCTCCTCTGTTTTTGAGGTGATGTGCATAAGTAATCCTTTTATATGTCTGATGTATTCCAAACACAGTGAATTATGTTTTATCAAACAAAAGAATAATGAAGTATGTAAACAATGATCGGTCCCTGTGGCTTGTAGAGCACCTCTCATCAGTTGGAATGCAATAACTTTTGCATAGATTATGGTAGAGACCATTTTCTTTTTTTCTATGATTACAGACATGTACAGGAACCACCAAAATTAATTACAGAACGCTAGACCACACAGAACCTAAAAGGTACACTTTCAAATTTAAGTTTATAAAAAAAAAATACAAAAGCGCTTCTTTTTTTAGGTGTTTATTATAACACAGACAACACATACAGTTATTTTAAACACTTTCAATAGTGTTTTATGAAAATTCAAAGGGTTTTCTTTAAAATGATACCAAATTTTTGCATTTACACCTCTGCATGTGGATTTGGGAAGCTTTTAAATTTGGGTAGGCAAAATCCAGGCGGAAATCCCAAAATAAAAGCAGAGTTTAACTGGTTAATAAGTTATTTGAGCGATTGCAGAGACGCATGGATGCAGTCCTCCAAGCTTATGGTAGTCAGACACAATATTAATTTTATTTCCACTGCCGCATGACTTTATATTCTATACTGTACATTATTTCTGTTAAGTGACAAGACGTTTACCTAAGCAAAGTCAGAACTTACTGTCCTAATTAATTCAATAAAAAAAAAAAAAACAAGACATGATCATATTTTATTTTGTTAAAATAAGCGTAATCTAGAGGCTTTTGCATTACATATAAGCCACTTCTGATACCAAATGATCAACTAGAAGTCGAGTTATTATTTGTTGTTCCAAAAATTTTCATAGGCGACAAGACTTTTGTCAGGTAGTGTATACTGACAATATGCCACTAAAGCCATGGACGTAGGTTACTAAAATATTTTGCAGTACTTAAGAACATTTTAAAAATACTTATAATAATTATAACTATTAAATAGCAGTAACAATGGCAAAAAGTGTATAATTTATCAAAATCAGTAAAGAAAAATTACTAAGAAGCATAAAAATTACATAGAAGCATAAAAAACTTAATTTCTTAAAACTTAAAAAACTTATTTTTCTTTAACAGTGAGACTACAAAAACTAATATTTTTGGCCATTTATTTTTTCTTTGCCTTTAATCGATTAACAGCAGATTTTTTTTTTTTTGGCGGAAAACCACAGTTCAACTTCTCTTTTTTTAATACTTCTCTTTAGCTGACAACTGATTTCTCTCATTACAAGCTTAGTAAGACTTTATTATTATTATTTTTTAAAGACTGTCAAATGATATGACAATTCAGGCTGTATCAACAGTGTTTTTTATATACATGTAAGATTTAATAGCAAAATTAGAAATTCTACTGCCAACACTGATAAATGGTAAGACAAAACATGCTAAATTAAAAAATAAATAAATAAAATATATATATATATATATATATATATATATATATTGATTTATATACATTTATATTACTTGTAAGAAACTAGCAATACAACATAAATCTCGTATCACAATACAACTCATCTTATATCCTGATAACAATGTGTATCACAATACTGTCAATTAGCTAACACTGACGACATGGACAGATCTATTTCTTTTTGATATTTTGAAGTACATGCTCACTTTATGTCTACATGTTTGATTAGGAGTATAGAAAAATTCATTTTCACTCCTAAGAGCGGTTCATTTCCCGCGCGGCTCCCAAACAATCACTCTGTGTCAAAAACTGAATGTTATTTACAACTTATTACCTGTTATTCACAGCCTATGCAGGTTCTGTTCACTAAAGTAGACTTCATTTAGAGGCTTGCGTGCGCCCGCCCCCTCTGTGATAACAGCTGACGGTCAGCTCACGTCACGTGTGATTTTGCGGTAGCAAATACATTACATGACGGCGGAAAATACATTTTTGGGGTTAATTATATCTTATAAATACAGCATGTTACTCTTTCAACACCATTTGGAGGTGTCCACGTTGCTGAACAACGTATGTAAAACAAAGTGAAGACTTGTGCGGCCACCATTGCTTCTCTCCTAATCTTGAAAATATGATTGACAGAATTGTAGAAATGCTGGATTAAGATCGTCTAGGAGGTCGAATCGAGATCACGATCTTTTTACGTTTAATTGTGCAGCTCTGGTAGGCAGAAGAGAATCTCTAAATGCACAACACTTCCAACCTTGAGGCAGAAGGACTACAGCAGCAGAAGATCACACCGGGTGTCAGCTAAAAACAAGGAACTGAGGCTACAATTTGCACAGACTCACCAAAATGGAACAATAGAAAATTGGAAAAAAGGTTGCCTGCTCTGATGAGTCTCGATTTCTGCTGTGACATTCAGATGGTCGGGTCAGAATTTGCCAGCAAGAACATGAGTCATGAATCCATCCTGTCTTGTATTAATGGTTCAGGCTGCTGGTGTAATGGTGTGGGGGATATTTTGGCACACTTTTGACCACAGTATACCCATCTTCTGGGGTCCGTTCTTCGTACCTCGCTTAAATAATCTAAGATGATTTGACAGATCCTGGATCTTTTAATCTTGATAAATGATCTCTCGCTAATTTGGTTCTTCAAACAAGTTCGTGAATCAGATTAGAATGTCTGGATAAACTGATCTGAGATCGCTGCGTGTGTTGTGAAGGACAGATCTATCGATCCTCGAAATCATGATCAGCAATGCAACGATTGGCTGACGGTACAGCTGCGTAATGACATCATCTGATTAATATTCAATTATCCATGTGAGCAAAATTACGTTAAATTAGCAGAAACGGTTTGTTAAATATGACACGCAATAACCTTCCACATTTGTTGTGAGCTGCAGGCTTTACACTTTCATGTGTCGAGAGTATTCATCATGTATTTCAATGCATATCAGTGTATTTAGTTCTAAATTTAGAAAATATTGTCTATATTATAGTAGCTGTTTTTAATCGGTGTAAAGAATAACTGGTTGTTTACAAAAGCATTTTGATATTGGTAAAGGCGTCTGCAACTTTTGTGAAGCTTCAAATCACTATTAACTATCAAAACATGTTTATGACTGCATACATGTATTATTGCTTTAAAAAAAGTCACATATTCTGCATTTCTATCATACACAATTTGTACTAAAGCGATCTAAAAAGTTCATATCAATAAGTTTTCTCTTTGCACCACAAGGTGGCAGTCTTTGTACTTTCATTTCGATGGTGCAGATTGCATAAGTTTTATTAAAATGTATAACTTTATTTATTTTATTAATGACTATAACTTTATATATATATATAGTCAAAAAATATGTACCATTTTCCCAAGTGTATATATATAACTACTACTGTAAGAAAATATCAGAATTCAGAACATACTTTCTGTATTATCTTTGCTTGAACTGAGCCGATCTAATCCTGTTTATATGAATTGTACCTGCTCCCGATCAGGTTTGACCCAGCAGAACTGTTGCTATGACAACAACTCTCGGATCAGCTTTGAAGAACGAAACGATCCTGGATCATGTCAAATCGTCAATAACCAAATCCAGCTAGCTGAGTAATCCACGTACGAAGAACGGACCCCAGATGGCTACTTCCAGCAGGATAACACACCACGTCATTAAGCGCGAATCATCCCAGACTGGTTTCTTGAACATGACAACGAGCTCCTTGTACTCAAATTGCCTGCACAGTCACCAGATCTCAATCTAATAGAGCACTTTGGGATGTGGTGCAACGGGAGATTCGCATTTTAGATAAAGATTACAGCCGACAAATCTGCAGCAACTGTGTGATGCCATCATGTCAATATGGACCAAAACCTCTGATAAATATTTCCAGTACCTTGCTGAATCTATGCCATTAAGGATTAAATTAAGGCAAAAAGAGGGTCCAACCTGGTTCTGTGAACAGGTGCCATACATTGAGATAAAGTTGGTTTATAGACTTCCTTCTTAATAATACTATTTTAGTAAAGTATTAGAAGTAAAGCATATCAAACTATAACATTGTTCACAGTCAATTAAACAGAGCTAATGTTCTTTTGAAGTCATATTTACATGCTATTTTAGACCGAGTATTAAAAGTAGCGTGGTAACAATATTAGGAAGCATGTCACAAGTTGTCACCGTTTAAAAATGAACGAATGTGCGAATATAAAACCGACTTTACCTCAATTCTGTCTTACCTGCTATCTTGACCGGATCAGAGGAGTGTTGTTGTGTTGTGTCAGGTGTCTTTAACCCCGCGCTGTAATGATTCACTCCACTGCTCAGCGTCTCCGTCGCTTTACGAGCAAACGACAAAATCGGCGCCGACCAAGAGCTGTCTGCCGGTCTGTCCTTTTGGAGCTCGTCGGTGTTGTTGGCGACATCTTCTTGCCCGGTTTCCGTTACCTCCGGTTCTTCTTCTTTTGCAGGAACGTCTCCGCTTTCAACTTTCGTGTTTGGATCCTCGTCCGCCATATTTGCCTGTCAAAACATGTGACTCGAGACCAGAGCAATCGCATTTGATCACTCAGGGGAGACGAATCGATTGGCGACCAGATTTATACACTTCCCGAAACACAGGTCTGTATTTTTAGACATCAGTTTGAAATGTAGATACATAACTGACTGAAATAAATAAATAAATACATTTTGTTATTTGTGTTTTCATCAAAATCTCCAGCTGTGAAATGTAAGTTGAGCCAGAAAAAAAATAATAAAACAAAAATAAAACAAAATAAAAAAATTAAAGTAAAATAAATTAAATCAATAAAAGGGATGGGCAATATTTAAAACATTTATTTAAAATATAAAATAGTATTTTTTTTATTTGTATAAAAACTTTCAGCTTTGGAATGTAATGTGAACCAGATTTTTTTAAATAAATAAAAATTACTGAATAAATGAATGAAAAAAATAAATTAATTAATGGCCAAATAAATGACTGAATGAATTAATAAATGAACGAATAAATAAATCAATTATTCACTGAATAAATGACTGAATGAATGAAAAAATTAGCAAATGAATAAACGAATAAATGAATAATTAATTAATAAATTAATTAATTAATCAATAACTGAATAAATCACTGAATGAATGAATGAATAAATAAATAAATTAATTAATGACTGAATGAATGAATAAATAAATTAGGGCATCATGGTGGTGCAGTGGGTAGCACAATCGTCTCACAGCAAGAAGGTCGCTGGTTTGAGCTCCGGCTTGGTCAGTTGGCATTTTGGTCAGTAGAGTTTGCATTTTCTCCTTGTGTTGGTGAGTTTCCTATGGGTGCTCCGGTTTCCCCCACAAGTCTAAAGACGTGGTACACAATTTTTTCGTAGTGTAAGTGTGTGAATGAAAATGTATGGCAGTTGGCGGATCATTCCGCTGTGGCGACCCCTGATTAATAAGGGGACTAAGCCGAAAAGAAATGAATGACTGAATGCTTCAACGAATGAGTAAATTAATTAATTATTGACTGAATGAATGAATAAATGAATAAATAAACAGATAAATAAATAAATTAATAAACTACTGAATGAATGAATAAATAAAAAATTAATTAATGACTAACTGAATGAATGAATGAATGAATAAATGAATAAATAAATAAATAAATGAAAAAATAAATAATTAATGACTGACTAAATGAATGAATGCATTAATAAATATATAAATTAATTAATGACTAACTGAATGAATGAATAAATAAATATATAAATTAATTAATGACTAACTGAATGAATGAATGCATTAATGAATATAGAAATTAATTAATGACTAACTGAATGAATGAATAAATAAATATATAAATTAATCAATGACTGACTGAATGAATGAATGAATACATAAATAAATAAATAAATGAAAAAATAAATAATTAATGACTGACTGAATGAATTAATGCATTAATAAATATAGAAATTAATTAATGACTAATTGAATGAATGAATAAATAAATAAATAAATAAATACATAAATGAATGAAAAATTAAATAATTAATGCTTGACTGAAAATATTAATAAATATAGAATTTAATTAATGACTGACTGAATGAATGAATAAATATATAAATGAATGAATGAATGAACGAATAAATAAATAAATAGATAAATAAATAAATAAATAAATAAATAAATAAATAAATAAATAAACAAATAAATAAATAAATAAATAAATAAAGGGATGGGCAGTATTTGAAACATGTATTTGAATTCTGTATTTCAAATATAAAATAGTATTATTTGTATCAAAATCTCCAGCTTTGAAATGTAAGCTGACCCAGAAAATAAATAAATATATAAATAATAATTAAATTTAAAAAAAAAATAAATAAATGTCTCTGTGTGTGTATGTAACACAATATTGACTTCCTTAGCATTTGTTTTTCCTATTATCGAATGGTTACAGGCTTCCAGTTTCTTTGAAATATATGTTATTCTTTTAGATAGACAGATGGACGGATGGGTGGATATTCGCTGGTCTATCTTTGTGAGAGATTAAAGTATCCACTAGATGGCAGGAGCGAACGCAGTATGTCTTGTTTGGTAAACCACTGCTCATAACATGCTGTTTTATGCTGTCTGCTGAATGTATGTCCAACAGCAGGGAAAGATATCTCTTTTGAAAAGTAGCCTAAAGACCGTAGGATTTTAGTCCAGCCTGACTTGAGCTTTGAAAACAATAATAGAATAAAAAGGCTTCTCTTGGTGTAAGACCATTGTAATGGATTAGCCTACCAAAAGACTCTATAGGTGTAACAATAAAAGAATGCAGTCACGGTTAAAGATGATGAGGAGGATTAAGAACTATTAAACACAATGACTTTGGCAGATCTTACCTGTAAAACAGTTTAATGTTTATTTGTTTGTTTATAAATGTTGTCATGCATTTATTCACAGCAATTTGCACAGATGAAGTTCAATCATTCATTCATTTTCTTTTCGATGTAGTCCCTTTATTAATCTGGGGTCGCCACAGCGGAATGAACCGCCAAGAAGTTGAATCTGCTAGTAGATAATTTTATAGATGTCCATATGACTATATATATATATATATATATATATATATATATATATATATATATATATATATATATATATATATATATATATATATGTATGACCATGGAGCGACCTCCATCCTAAAATATAAAAGGCATAATTTGAATTAAGACCCAAGTCATACTGGTTCATCAATAAATAAAATAGAATGAACTAATATCATAAATAGATAAAATAATAGCGTTTTAACTTATTTTGTTACATTTTGATGATACATTTTAAATGCATTTTAAATATTTTTCCTTTATCATTTTTCAAACTTTTTTCTATTTTGTATTTTTGTATCAAAATTGTTTGTATCTTTTATTTATTATAATTATAGGCTAATTAACAGATTATCGTAATCCAATTGCATTAATTTTCTGTATCCTTTACTATGTGTCTGCAGTATTTATTTATTTTTTTATCAATTATTATTTTTAAATGTCAATAACTGATCTTCTAGCTCTCCCTTTGGACTAGGGGGCCCAAACCATTTCGTATGAAGGCCCTAAAACCAGAGCCATGGGCCGAAGACACACATACCAAACTAAACTATGAAACAATTACCTTGATAACACAACGGAGTTCAATGCTGAATACACTAGTCAAGCAGAATCTGCCTTAATTCACTCACTAAAGTCTCTGCATCTGTCGCATGTACATTTTAAACAAAATCTGATTAATTTACAGCATTTAAATTGAAATACTGAATTTCAGATATATATATATATATATATATATATATAGCTTAACTATAAAATAAAAAATAATCAAAGGTTACCATAGGCCAACTTTGACCCACAGGCCCTAGGTTGGGCATCTCTGCCCTAGAAAGTGAATATATATATATATATATATATATATATATATATATATATATATATATATATATATATGTATGTATGTATGTATGTATGTATGTATGTATGTATGTATGTATGTATGTATTGTATGTATGTATGTATGTATGTATTGTATGTATGTATGTATGTATTGTATGTATGTATGTATATATATATATATATATATATATATATATATATATATATATATATATATATATATATATATATATATATACACACACACACACCCCACACAAATCTATCATTTAAATTAATAGTTATTGTAGGAAGATATACAATATATTTCTGCATATACATTAGTTTAGTCAGTAAGTTACAAATCTAGAGCTAATCTAGCAAAATAACTTACAATAATTGTTAAAAAATTAGTACATTCAAATGTATATGTTAGGGGATTGAACTGCAGGTAACCATACCAGGGATAAAAGGTGTAAACCAAAAATATTTAAATATTTTGGTCACAAAAAAATGGGCGTGGCCACGTTCATATTTAAGCGGTGGCCACTGGGACGGCGGCAGAGTTTTTAACCTTGACGCACAAGAGAAGTTCACTGTAACGTTAGCAGACACTCGGAGACCCAAACTAACAACCTACTGTAACTTCCAAAGGAATTACGAGTCTCGGAGGGATTACTTTTATTTTTAAAGCTGAACATATCGTCGTTTTTGCCCTGAAGGAAAAACATGAACTTTTTAACAGTCTTGCGTCTTTTCGTCTTTACCATCGGTGAGTAACGGTAGCTCATATCAGACAGTGACTCGGAGCTTGGAGTTTCTGTGCCTGTTGTATAATGATAAAATCAACTGCTATGTCAAAATAGCTTTAGTGTTTACTAATAGATTATGTTAAAGTTCATATCAAGCCCTGTGTTGTAACCTAACAGACACTGCCACCTCTAAAAACCGGATTTTCCGGTGAATCTATTAATGGATCAACAATGTCATTCAGTCATTCTGTTTTAAGAATATTCTGGGGTGTATTTATTTCGGTCTCATGCGTTCATTCGTTAGCTCAGTGTCTGTGCATGCAAGATTTTTGTAAATGAAGCCCCTCAGCACCCTCTTTGGGTATTAGGTGATGCATACAACCTATTATTAGTTTTAAAACGTGCTTATTTGTGTGTCAGCCACTGTATTTACATATTTATTCTAGCAAAATGATTTCTGAATGAATAAAGTATTAATATTTCAAAACATTTATCACACATTTGCATGGTTTTCATTGCATAAAACACTAATAAATCAGAAAAATTAAGTTTAATGTATTTTTACTGTGTTTTCCATTTAGTGGCTGTGAGAGGTGCATCTATACCGCTTGTGTTTGAGAGCGAGAGGCCTGCGCAGACAGCTGTGATTGATTTATTGGAGGCGCTGAGTGAGAAAAGATCTACCGTGGACAACAAGCTTGTGGAATATGAGGAGGAGGATGAAGAGTATTACTATGATGATGATGTTGAAGAAGACGAGGAGGATGAGTTCTCTGGGGATTATGGGTTGCCGATAGGTAAATAATTGATGTTTGATTTCCTTTCTGTATGCTGTAGTAAAGATTTCAATGTGAATAATTACGTTTTTCCACCTAAACAGTTGCATTTTCAAGTCAACCCAAAGACCCAAGTGCGGTTTTGAACGCGGAGAAACTTGAAGGCTCAAAGAGGAAGGGGCTCGGGAGAAAGAAGGGAAAAGGAAAGGGAAAAGGCAAGAAAAGAAACCCCTGTCTAAAAAAGTACAAGGACTTTTGCATCCACGGAACCTGCCAGTACTTTAGGGATTTAAAGGGGCCCTCATGCATGTAAGCACTTTCCATTTCTCCCATTATAAATGTCCAATTATAAATTCCAAATGTGTTTGACTGAAATGCTTTCCATTTCTTCCCACAGATGTGACCAGGGGTACTCAGGAGAGCGATGTCACGATTTCTCTCTGCCGGTGAAGACGAATGACGGAGGGTATGACCGCACTACAGCCCTTGCTGTGGTAGCTGTGGTTCTCTCTTCATTATGTCTGACCATCATTGGCCTCCTCCTGGCACTCAGGTTTGTTTTTAAACCACATTTTAGATGTCACAAGCAAAATTAAAAGTATTTTGAAAGTTATTTTTAATTGTTTTATGTTCAATTAACTTAAATTGGTAAAATCAATTAAGTTATTTTATCATTTTAAGTTATTTTAAATTAAGTTATTTTAGCTTATTTGTGTCAACATGAAGGAACTGAGTGGAACCCAGCATTCACACAATTTCTTTATGTTGTCCCAAACACAACTTGAACTTGTTGTGTTCTTAAATTTAAGTAGATTAAACCTAAAACAATTAAGTTGTCCCAAAAAAACGCAAGAATTGTTGATTCAGCTCATTTTAACTGAACAAGCAGCATTATTTATTTGAGTTACTAACGTCAACCTATCAAACGTTTAGGTTTCACAAGCAAGGTGCATATAATGTGGAAAATGAGGAGAAGATTAAACTGGGAGCCGCTCCACACCACTAAACCAGACTGGAGAAGAACGGTCAGTCAGGTCATCCATTTGTATAAACTGTGTAAAGTATTTATTTTTTTGGCTCAGCCCTGCTGACATCTGCATTCTTGTTGTATTATAGGGCGACCGTGTGGAAATTCTACCTCAAAAAAAAAAAAAAAATGAAGTGGCGAAGTTGAATGTTGTGAGGAGCAGCAGCGGGCACAGCAAGCTGAATGGTGACCGTGTTTGTTTGGCAGGAGTCGAAACGCCTCAGCAAAGGGCCTGACTCATTAAAGACTCGCTAAAAAATTAAAAAATTAAAAAAAGAAGTTCGCAGGAGAGCTCAAAACCTGCCCCGAACTGGACGCCGAGCTGTTCCATACACAATGAGAAGGAACTCTTCAGGGTTGGGAATGTAGATTTAGAGGCGATGGATGGCGAGGATGTAGAGGCGACTGAGTTTTTTTTAGTACTGATGAAGCCTTGTCTGAAATAAGTATTCTTAAAAAAATAAGCATTTGTTCGTCTGTCTTGTGCACTGTGTATTTAAACGTTGCTGGCTATGCTTTAAATTATTTATTTATGTATATATATTAATATTTATTTGGATTTAGACCAACTTCGTCCTGCCCTAATGCACTGGCAACGTTTTTGAAAGTCTGTGTTGTTGTATTTCTGTATATTATTTTATTTATTAAAACAAGCAATAGTAATCGGTGTCGAATCAGTGAGTACTGAACCGTGGTAGACTGAAAATCTAAATTGTGTATCTAGTAATATATAATATGCAGTTTTGATGCATTGAATGAAGAGAACGTAAGTTATTATTTGTACTGTTTCAGCAAACGTCACGAAAAGTCATATTTCAAGCTTTCTTTTTTTATGAAATGGAAAGTCTTCGGCCAGTAAAATGTTAGCAGATATTCAATTTATGAAATGTGAAATATTTTAAGCAAGCATTCTGCTTCATAAGAGATCAATTGTTTCTCTCATTGTATGAATCGACTATTTTTTATGCTCCCAAAGAAGAAAATAATAAAACGTCTTTTTATAATAAAACCCCCCATCTGTATTTTCATGTCTGCGCTGTGTGTTCTCAAGGTGGAAGACTGCAGTGTGATACGATGACTCATTTCCTCATGAGAGCAGTTGGGACCGGTTTCCCATTTTGGGGATATTTTTGAAAACTGGACTAGTGACAAATACTGTAATGTTTTGATGTAAGAGAAAAAGCACGGGTCTAGACTAGTCTGTCGCCTGCTTTTAACTCCACAGATCTCTCTCATGTGACATGCGCACCTGTGTCCTGAACATGTGATCTGCATTGTGAGCCGTTTTCATCGACAATAAGCACACTTTCACACACACACCCACTGCATGCAACGTCTCACCTTTGCATTGCCCGCATAACTCGCTTGCATCATCATGAAATTGCACTTCCTTTAATAAAAGTTGGCGTGCTTGTGTGTCGGCCACACCAAGGTTTTCCCAGCAAAACTAGCCTAATACCAAGACTAAATAGGCCACTGTATGTTTGTAAGATACATATTTTACATCACCGTTTGCATTATAAACCGGTTCGGGTGTTTAAAAATAACTGTTTATTAGTAATTATAAAGATTCTGTCTTAAAAATATATCAAGACATGGCATCTCTACTGTGATTAGATAAAAATGCAATCATTTAGTGCAATCTTACAGTTTTTGTTTCAATTATTGATTGAATTTTGCTGTATACTATGTTTCAATGCAATCGTATTAATATTAATGATGCGATATGTCTAACCTTTAACCCACTGAATTAAAAACAACCCATGTCAAGACATTAAAAGGAGCTGAATACTGAAGAGAAACCACAGATTTGGCAACCCCTTCAGCATCAAGAATTCATTAAAAATCCACGTGAAACAGAAATGTATGTTTATTTTGCTGGCACACATCGCTATTCTTTAGGTTTATCAATTAATTATTGCGAGTTAATCCACTGAAAAAGAAAAAAAAATGAAGTTTGTTTTGGTAATCTTTAATTAAAGTTTTAGCATTTGCTTCTGCGTGTGGAGTGCTGGTTCTTCTCTCTTGATGTCCGTTTGTGGATTCAGGCACAATATTCTTAACCAAGCCCCTCTTTTACCATTAAGCTGCGGTCACATTAGAGTCTGAGCATACAATATTCTGTCGTGCGGCGCTGCGAAAAGGGGCGGGATTAAACAAGCTTATTAGACATTTAAAAAAGCAAGCGATTGCTCCATATTTAAAATTTCTGTCCAGAGAGGTCATGTTTTGATCTTTGATTGGTCTCATGCAGTCAAGTGAAGCAATTTCGCAGGTCAGAGTTCACCAAGCTTGAACTTTGCACCGCAGCAACCTGCGAAATTTGACGCATGACCCCGTATATCCGGTCTGACGCCTTTGCGTGCTTATGAATGGAAGTCTATGGGAGGAAAAGCCCAGTGTGACCACAGCTTTAGAGTTTGTGTGTGCGAAATTCTGTCGTGCTGAGCTGTGAAATGGGGCGAGATTAAACAAGATGATTAGACATTAAAAAAGCGAGCGATTTGCTCAATGTTTTAAAATTTCTGTTTCGCAGCGACCTGCGAAACTTGACGCATGACCCTGCGTTTCCGGTCTGACGCATTCGCGTGCGTATGAATGGAAGTCTATAGGAGGAAAAGCCCAGTGTGACCGAGCGCAGCTTAAGTTTGACTTTAAGTTTAAGTATGAGGAAATGATGCGCAAAAAGAAAGCCCTGCCCCCTACTTAATATTCAGTTTCAGCTAGAAGTACATCAACCTGCTGAAATAAAAGTCTCAGCAACTTCCTGTGGTGTCTGTCGTATGCTGTATAATTAAAAACAATTGTTTCATGCAAACTAAGGTTTTTTTCTATTCTATTTCAATGGAATCGCATAAATATTAATGATGGAATATGCCAAACCTTTAACCCACTAAATTAAAAATAACCCACAGGAAGTGGTTAAAAGTAGTTTAATCACACTGGAAAACCGCTGACTTGGCAACCTGCCGCACCTTCAGTATCCAATAGTATCTGGATGCAGCCTTCATAATGCAAGGTGAGATTGCATCACTCAGCGATGATATGTCAGACACAATGCACTCAAATGGAGCAAGTGACGTCACTGTGTGGGGTAGGGTTAGGGGTGGGGTAAGGTGAGCACATTAAAAAGCAATGGATGCAGCTCAGATTGCACTGCACCAGGTCTGCATCCAGACCCCTCTCTCTCAGCATTAAGAATTCATTAAAAATCCATGTGAAATCAAACTGTACGCTTATTTTGCGTGCACTGTTGCCAACTATTTTCAATGAAAAGGCGCTAAGCTGTGCCCTAAAAGTTGCTAGATTACATGATACATCAATTTGCATATTACTGACGTCATCATGTTCTACTGTTTCTGTTTCTTTAACAGCCTATGGTCAATAAAGGAGTATTTATATTTGCACTACGCTTTATGTTTGCATGTCAATTTAACAACATTGATTGCTGTTTGAATACAGTATATCAGTATAGATAAAGTGTGTAATTTATTTGATAGTGTAATAAAGTTGCAGAAATCTCTCAGATGTAATATCCTTAGACAAGTTCCGAAACTCTCACTTCAAGAGTTCACACCTAACTCATGACTTACAAAAGCTTGTTTGGCATGCTGTCCCGGGAGAGAGCCCTGAGCTCAAGGGATCCTCGAGTCCAGGGCTCCCTCCCTTTGCGGGTCGAGGGGAGATTGAGCTCAGGACGATCTCAAAACTCCCCCGCAGCTAAGGCCAAGGTGAACTTCCTGAGAGCAAGACGCCTAGTAAAAGAGACTTCGTTTTATTTAGTCTATAATGTATTGCATATTTAGACTTTGAGAGTAAACCGAGGAACTCAGGGGAAACCCACGCGGAGACGGGGAGAACGTGCCAGCTCCGCACAGAAACGCCAGATGCTCCCGCAAGGAGCCTGAGCCATTGGAATTCTGCTGGTCGCTGGGCCACCGAACCACCTATTCTGAATAAAGGTGGAAGGGGAGGGGGTTTCTTCAAGACGAAGATAGTTGTAGAGAGAAAAAGAAGAGATAAATAGAAACTTAGGATCCTTTGATTGGAGGATCGTGATTAGCTAATCATTAGCGTGTGTTCCTCTCGAAATTAGTTTAAGATATTTAAGATTGTAGATTCAGATTCAGAGATTAAGATGTTTAAGACTGTACAAGGGAAATACCTTCACACTGCCGGTGATCAATTATTTGCCGTGAGTACGCAGAGGAGTGATCTGCTGTCAGGCTGCAGGTGTGAGAGGCTGCTGTACAAAGACTGGGCTGCCGGTCAGTGCTCTGAGGCGGGGGAGGGGCCGACGACATCACCCGCAGCTCATTGAGAAGAGTAGGGATGGTACAGTATGGTCAAAAGACAGTCTATAAAAATCTACAGTAACACACGAAAAGTCTCTAGATTTGTCACTAGTCGCTCTTTGGAACATTTGTCTAAATTGGCAACACTGTTTGCTGGCAAACATTGTTTAGGTAAAGAATTAATTATTACAAGTTAATCCACTGAAGAATAAAAAAGAGTTTGTTTTGGTAATATTTAATCAACGTCTGACCAATTGCTTCTGTTTTTGGAGTTGGCTCTGTTGATGGCAGTTTCAGCCACAATATTTATATGCCAAATATATTTGGCATAGATATGTATATATTGCGATCGTGTTTTTCGAAAGTATTAAATCGCTTAGTAAACGTTTATTATTACCATTTCATGAGTCTCCTCATTCAGTTGAATAGAGCGCTTGGACCCGGAAGCCGCTTCGCGTGACGTCGCACTTAACAAGCGGATGATGCGCAAAAAGAAAGCCCTGCCACTACTCAATATTCAGTTTCAGTTAGAAGTACATCAACATGCTGAAATAAAAGTCTCAGCAACATCCTGTGATGTCTGCCGTGTGCTGTCCAGTTAAAAACAATCATTTCAGGCAAACTTCGTTTTTAAGTATTATATTTGCATGAAATCACATCAATATTATAATGATGCAATATATCAAACCTTTTACCCGCTAAATTAAACAACCCAGGGGAAGTGGTTAAAAGTATTTCAACCCCACTGGATAACCGCAGACTTGGCAACCCGCCACACCAAATCTATGTGAAATAAAATTGTACGTTTATTTTGCTTAAACACATTGTTATTCTTTAGGCGAACAATTAATTATAGCAAGTTAATCCAATGAAGAAGAAGAAAAAAAAGTTGATTTTGGTAATCTGTAATCTAAAGCCTGACCATTTGCTTCCCCGTTTAGAGTTACAGTCCTTCTCTTTCGGCGTCATTTCTACGCTTTAGCCACAATATTCTTAACCATGACCCTCTTACTGTTGGTGTGCTATGAGAGAATGATGCGCAAAAAGAAAGCCCCGCCCCCTACTTAGTATTCCGTTTCAGTTTGAAGTAGATCAGCACACTGAAATAAAAGTCTCAGCAACTTCCTGTGGTGTCTGTCGTATGCTGTACAGTTAAAACCAGTAATTTCAGGCAAACTTTGGTTGATTGAATAGCTTAAAATAAAATAGAGTTTAATATTCAACATATATATATATAGGTCACACTTTACAATAAGGTTCATTAGTTAATGTTAATTAATGCATTTACTAACATGAACAAATAATGAACAATACATGTATATATCTATCTATATATATATATATATATATATATATACATATATATATATATATATATATATATATATATTTTTTTTTTTTTATTTATTATTATTTAATTTAGTTTTTTTTTAATGATGCGATATGTCAAACCTTTAACACGCTAATTTAAAAACAACCCACGGAAAGTGTTTAAAAGTAGTTCAACCCCACTGGAAAACCACAGACTTGGCAACCCGCCACACCTTCAGCATCAAAACTTCAGTTTAACAATTAATTTCTCCTCCTGATTTCTTCTCTATAAAAACTGGATGCATCATAGACATTAAAGACTCTTGAGCGGAAACCACACCGCATGCTCATTTCCTTTTGAATGTTTGAGCGGGCTTCAGATCTTTTGTTGGTTTTCTAACCT